AACAACAACATATATAAATTATCTTTGCAAATTATTTGCTCAAATGCAGATTGAATAAATATGGTGAAAGAATACAATGCTGGCACATACCTTTGCTAATTTTAAGCCATTCAGTGTTCCCTTGTTCTGTTCAAACTACTGCCTCTTCGTCTGTGTACAGTACCTCATAAGCACAATTAAGTGTTCCAAATACTAATTTGAGAAGCTGGATTATATGAAGAAAAACATGGCATCAGAATCAGAGGAGTACTCATTAACAACCTGCAATATGCAGATGATACAACCCTGCTTACTGAACACAAAGAGGACTTAAAATGCTTACTGATGAAGATCAAAGATCACAACCTTCAGTATGGGTTTCATCAATGTAAAGAAAACAAAAATCCTTACCACAGGACCAATAAATATCAAAATGAATGGACAAAAAGTTTGAAGTTGTCAAAAATCTCATTTTGCTCAGATCACCAATCAACACTCATGGAAGCAGCAGTCAAGAAAATCAGATGACATATTGCATTAGGCAAATCTGCTACACAAGACTTCTTTAGAGTGTTCAAGAGCAAAGGTATCTGTTTGAGGACTAAGGTGCACCTGACCCAAGCCACGGTATTTTCAATAACCTTATATACACATGAAAGTTGGACAATGAATAAGGAAGACCATAGAAGAATTGAAATCTGATTTACGTTTTGGAGGAGAATATTAAAAATACCATGGACTGTCAAAAGAACACACCAGTCATGTTGGCAGAAGTACAGCCAGAATGCTCCTTAGAAGCCAGGATTGTGGGACTGCATCTCTCATACTTTGGATGGTCCCTAGAGAAGGACAACAAGATGGATTGGCACAGTGGCAGCAGCAATGGACTCAAGAATATCAGGGATTGTGCCATTGGTGCAGGAGTAGAGTGTTTCATTCTGTTGTGCATAGATAGGGCTGCTATGAGTTGGTAATGGCTCTATGACACCTAACAACAACAACAACAACAACATATATAAATTCATGGAAAAATGAAATAGAAAGATAATATGTGTGTGTGTGAAACAAAACAAAACCAAAAAAAACAAATCCACTTCCATCCATCAATTCTGACTAATACCGACCTTATATAAGGCTTCCAAGACTATAAATCTTTACAGGAGCAGTCAGCCTCAACTCTGTCCCACGGAGTGGCTGGTGAGTTTGAGTCGCCCATCTTGCTAGTTTAAAGTCCAACATTAACCCACATTGCCAACAGGGCTCCATATCACAGTATAGTGTGTGTGTGTGCTCTTGTGCACTGAGCCCGCATTTGTAATTGGATCACTCGGCATTTAAAACATTGTTGTGTGTGTGTGTGTGTGTCCATATTTCTTAATGCCAAATGATGGAATTACAAATGTGGAGTCACTAGTACCATAGTTCTCTCATTACCACTATCTTTCTCAATGGTCTTTCATCGTTTCCTTGTATTTCAGATGAACCATGGCTCTTTCACCAGGATACGGAGTACCTTTTTCATACCTATGCCTCAGAATGGGCCTCCTTTGAGTTTGTCTGTGGTTGGCTGCGTAGTGATCTTCTCACAATTCATTCTGCAAAAGAGCAAGAGTTTATCCACAGCAAAATAAAAGAGGTACTTACAATTAACCATGCAAATTCAGAGCTTAGCTCTATGTGAACCTTTTTTAAAAAATCTGACTTCAGACATTTCTTTGTTTCATCAAAACCCATAAATTATTGAGAATTAGTCTTCTTCCTGTTTTAGAAAGTAAGGGAAAATCATGGAAATCTGTCTCTCTTAATCTCTAGAACAGGAAGCTCTATTGTATAGATCAGTAATTTCCCTTCCCTTCATTTTTTATTAGCAACAATAATAGTAAGTCATTTTATTGTTTTTGCAAGGTGTGTTTGATCACTCATTAAACACATATTTCTTGAGAGCCTGTTCTTCTTAGCACTGGGACTCTTATCAATGAATAAAGCAGACTAGAACTCCTGCCCTCATGGAGCTTATGTATAGTGTGTTGTCATTGTTGTTAAGTGCTGTCGAGTTGGTTCCGACCCATAACAACCCAGTATAGGGTTTCCTAGGAGCTACTAGTCAACTTGAACCACCAACCTTGCAGTTCAAATGGCTTTGCAGTCTGGCACATTAACCCACAGCACCATGTATAGACTCCTATGTACAGTCTAGAGTGGGGAAAAAAAGACTATTATCAGAGTAAATTAATAGAATTATATGCTATTTTAGAAGAACATAATGGATAAAAGCCAGGAGATGGAATAAAGCACAGGATAGGGAGTATTGGAGTCCTGGTGTGGGTTAATGCCCCAGACTGCAAAGCCAGTTTAAACTGCAGAGTCAGCAATTCAAGCTCACCAGCCACTCCTCGTAAACCCTATACAGGGTCACTATGGGTCGGAATTGACTCGATGGCACTTCACAACAACAACAGGGAGTATTGCTTGGAAGCTTGAAAGTTCCAATTTTAACTTACAAAAAAAGTACAGTATTTTTAAGTTTGTAATGATTCGATACACAGAAAGTTGGTTACGACTGGTTTTTCTGTTTCATCTTAAGATTTAGAAAGAATTGACTTCATTGCGGAAGAATGATAACTAGAAAGGAGAATGCAAAGCCTGCTAGATAATGAAGTGGGCGACCACAGACTATCTGTAGTGTACATTTTTTTTTTTTTTGAGTGTCAGGTATGTGCTAGGCGTTATGGTGTTCATTAAAGACACAGAAATGCATGAGATACAGTCACTGTTTTCAAAAGGCTACAAGATGGAGTTGGAAATGCTGTAGTCAGTAGAAAGGGGAAAGTGTGTACAGGTTACCAGAAAGGCATCAGGAAGAGAACACCTCACTGCCAATGTTCTCTGGAAACCTTTGAAAGCAAGATAAAGCTTTTCTCTGTCTCTGTAATTTGACCATATTTCATAATCTCCAGGAGTCCTTCCCAGCTCTATCATCTTTTCATATCTTTGCAAGTTGACTGTGATCATGAAGCTCTGTATAAAACAACCTAGGCTTTTAAGAGTAATGCCTTCCCACTCTGTCCTCGGGGCCTTACCTGTTCTGTAGTTCTGTTTGATGAATAGCCACCTGTGAGGTTCAGACAGGTCGGGACTACTACTCATTATGATGGGAAAATGGAGAGACAGAGGTGTGTAGTAACAACCCACAGTCCCACAGAGACTGAGTAGCAGACCAACGGCTAGAACCAAGATGTTCCCCACTGTGGGTTTGTGCTCTATTTGCCACCCTTCTGCTCCTACAGACAAAACACTCAACCCAAAAGTGTAATAATATTAAATACCAGCAAATTGTAGATCATGATGTCAGGAAACACCCAAACACTGAACTCCTCCACAAGAGAACAGATGAATGGCTAAAAACCAGCCTACTGATGGTCACAAAGTGTGTCTGAATAAGAGCTGACATTTGGCCAACACTTACATTAGTGTGTCAGGCACTGTACAAAGACCTTTATGGCACTTCATTTTCCCAAGGACCCTCTGTGGGAAGACTCTTATTAGCTGTATTTTACAGAGAATGAAGCTGAGACTTTGAAGAGGTTAAGCAAGTTGGATATATAGCAGTTAAGAGGTGGACTTCAGAACTGAATCCAGGATATCTGATTGCAAGGTCATTTAAAAATCCTATACAGGGCTGCCTCTGTAGACACAACAGTGATGTTGGGGGCATATAAGAGCACAGTGTCCTCATTATAGAGGAATACTGTTTCTAAAATCCATTCCCAAAAGAAGTCTACCAGTGTTGTGTCAGACATGAGCAATGAGGGACTCCTTTGGTCTTTCCAACAGAGTTTAGCTCTCCTGAGAACCTCTGCAGGTTTTCTCTCCTCAACTTTTACTTAATTCACTTTCCTAATATTTAGGGGCTGGGAAGACAGTAGGGATAGTAGGATGAATTATCCTCATAGAAAGAAATAGTTAGACCCCAATAGTTGAGTGGTTAAGAAACCACAACCAGTGCCTAAATCGAGACTTGAGGTCTCTCATCTCAAATAGACAAATCTTGTGGTGTCCTATATGGCGAAATTACTACCCCTTTGGACATATTTATATAGAATTGATACTAAATGTTATTGAGTTACTTCTGGCATTCATAGTGATCCTGTATAGCGTTTCCAAAGAGCAGCTGGTGGGTTTGAAACACTAACCTTGCAGTTACCAGTCCAGTATTTATTCCACAGCACCACACCAGGACTCCATATATACAATAGTAGTAGTAGTAGTTAAATACCATCAAGTCGGTTCCAACTCCTAGTGACCCTGTATAGAGCTAGCTTCTGAGGAGTGGCTGGTAAGTTTGAACTGCCAACCTTGTGTTTCAAACCAACCTTGAGGTTCAAACAAACCTTGTGATCCAGTGTTTATCCTATAGCGCCACACCAAGAGTCCATATATAGAATGGTGTTGTTATGTGCCATCGAGTCAGTTCCAACTCATAGTGACCCTGTATAGGGTTTCTGAGGAGCAGCTGGTGAGTTTGAACTGCCGACTTTAAGGTTCAAACCAACCTTGAAGTTGAGTGCTTATTCTATGGCACCACACCAGGAGTCCATATATAGAATTGTTATTGTTGTTGTTGTTAACTGCGGTCAGATCAGTTCCTACTCATAACATTTCCAAGAAGAAGCTGGTGGGTTTGAACTTCCGACC